CATACATACATACATACATACATACATACATATATATATATATATGTATATACACACACATACACACACACACACACACAGAGAGAGAGAGAGAGAGATTAATTGCAAGCCTCCCAGAGTAGCTATATCAGTGAATTAGATGGCATTGAAATTTAATTTAAAAAAAAATATTGATGGTATTTGGATGTATTGGAGACAGAAGCTATATTTATCATGGGAGAAAACCCTTTAATTCGGGCCCCCTTAGTAACAATGCTCCAGCTGGAGGAATTACAACATGAACTATCAGAAATACCCAAACATTCTTTGCATAAATGTCATATGATTCTAGGAAGATACTAGATTGTGTTTTTTTGTTTTGTTTTTTTAATCTTTTCCTGTAAATATTGATACTTTAAGACTATTCTATTGAACATTCACAATTATTAAATTGAAATCATCATCATCCAGAAAGGATTAATGGTAGCCCTTTTGAGGGAGACTACTATTTGATTAGAGAAAGGAAAGCAAAAGTTTTCTAGCTGTGCAAACTTCCATTCCATAAAGCAAATTTTAATAAAATTGTTAAGCTGGCATAAAATAGAGAAGGGCACCAAAAAAGAAGCAAATCTTTGACTACTACCGGTATGGTCCTGATGACCTATATTGGTAATAAAATTCCACAGGGAATAGGTCAATCATCACAGAAGCCATTATAAAATATAAGATGCTCGGGTAAGTTTTCAGATGAGAAGGTATAAAACAGACAAATAGCATGTACTATATGATGTGATCAGTAGCAGCTATGGAGTTCTAATCAATCATTCTCTGAATAACTTATAGAGGGCACCTGTAAATCTGAGCTCATTATTGATTACTGTAAGACAGTTACTATCATTTTTAAGCAATTGTGTTGTCTCAGATTATGTTATGGGAATAAAGATTTGTTTTTCCTTCCCTGCCTCTACAGAAGATTGCATTTTCACCCTTAGTCCGGATCCAAAGACCAAAGTTTATATACAGACTCCTAACTGGCTGGAAGGCCTTCTTCCTTTTATGTCAGTGTATTGGAATTTCAGTGTCCCGCCAAAGCAAGTTGCACAGCTGACATTCTTAAATGAAAGGATGGGCATAACATGTGAAAAGAGTAGGGCTTTTATCTACGTTAAAGAACAGAGTGCAAAAGCGGTAGAAACTGTGTGCCGCGATGATAATGTACTTCCGAAGACTTTGAATTTGAGACAGGATTTTTGGATTAATATCACTAATTGTAAACCATCTGCTAAGCAACAACTTAGTTTGCAATTCTTGGTGACATTTCAAAAAAATTCAGGTAAGTTATCATTCTCACATTGTTACACAACCAAGTTCTACATGAATTTTATACAAAGAAGGAACTATTCTGCATGAATGAATCTTTTGAACCTACTAGCCCAGGGAACTAGACACCCTCCACACCTCCTTTAGCCCATGGCTTAATTTTGGGTACAAAACCAGGTCTAAAATGTGACATGAATCAATATGATATCTGTTATTTTGTGCATCATTTTTCTTAACATGGAAATTCCTTCAGCACAATGTAACTGTAAATTGCAGCAATCAAAATGCTGTTGAGGATTGAAGTTCACAAATGAGGAAGGTATCAGGTAGCTTCTCCTTTGAAGAGTATCTTTGAAAAGAGACAGTATTATATACCTGACTTTTTTTCTGCTACATAATTTCTTATGACTCCTCTCCTGTTTATTTGTTTTTTTTCTTTCTCTCTTTCTTCAACTTCTTCACCACCCCTCCCTTTCATCTTACCACCCAGCTGTTAACTACTAGAAAAACATTATGTATCTCCCCAGTCTGTGAATTGTTCATGTATTTCAAGTTGATTTTTGTTTCTTTCTTTCTATCTCTCTAAACAGGCTTGTAATCAACAATATTTTAAATTTGGCTTTTAGTAAATTGTCAATTAGTCTTGAGGGTATTTTATTCAAGACATGGAAGATAACACTGGAGGGGAAGAATCTGTGCAACTCCTCTTTCCAAGCCTTGATCTTCGAGTAGTTTTGGAAGGAATGAAAGCCTTTCCTTCTTACTTTGAACCAACCTGAATATCTCTTTCCCTTAATCTTTTCACAGATGTGACCGTCATAATTGGTGTGGTGGCTGGCGGGATGGCAGTTCTAGCTATTATTGGGCTCCTCATCTGCTGTGTTAAGAAAAAGAGAAAAAAGTATGTTCATTTTGTTCTCTTGCCCTTTTTCATTTAAATTAAAACAAACATTTTTCTTTCTATTGTCAGATTAGCAGGCCTTAGGCAAACAATGTATTAATGGTATTTCCCCTCTGAAATTCCTTTGAAAGACGGGTTGCATCTGTGGTAGTAATATCATCTCTCTTTTAGAGGGTCTATCTGTTGTAATGAAAGACAGATACTTCCTATCTCAGGTAAAATACTTCACAATATTCTCAGAAATGGTTCTTTGGGAGCTAAGTGGAAAATTGCCTTGGAAGAAGCAAGTAGAAAAGACTCTTCTGGCTCTAGTTTTTCCCCTGTCACAGTTAGTCTCCCTCCAATCCCAGATCAATGAGCTACATGGGGGAGGAACACAAAACTCTGCTGAGCTTTTAATTGCATGGCAATTTGACATCAATGAGAAGGCTAAGAGAAAAAGAGAAGTCAGACAAGGAATTTCAGACTGTCCATATGGGTTGCAGATAAATTTGAAAAGAATGTCTGAAGCAGAAGAGTAAAAGATCTTGCTAGATGTCCTGTATGCAGGGATGTCTTGATAAAAGTTGTGTACCTGAATCAGGGCTGTTTTAGAATATTACAAGGTCTGAAGTAGATTCTCAAATTCCATTCCCACTGCACAGTATCCAAGGCTGTCATCTGATGCAGAATATTCTGAACAGTAGCCTCACCTCTCTTTGATGATAAAGTATAGCAATTTTTTTTTAAAAAAAACAGTAAATAGTAAATAGGGCTGATATTTAATAGCTTGTCTACTAAAACTCCAAGAACTTTTTCATGCTTACCACTATTAAGCCTGGTTTCACCCAGTCTATATGTGTATGTTTGGTTTTTCTTATCTAAGTGTAAGACTTTACTTTTCTCTACATTGAATTTCATTTTGTTAGTTAGGGCCCAGTGTTCAAGTCTGTCAAGATCCATCTGGATCTTAAGTCAATCTTCTCGGGTGTTGGCTATTCCTGTCAGCTTAGTATCATCCACAAATTTGGTAAATTCTATTCCCTCATCTAAGTCATTTATGAAGATGTTGAAGGCTACTAGGCCTAAGACAGAACCTTGTGGTACTCCACTGCTTACTTCCCTCCATGTAGCCATAGTCCTATTAAGGATTACTCATTGAGTATGGTTTATGAGCAAGTTACAAATCTATCTGATAGAGATCCTAGCTATCCTACTTTTTTCTAACTCACCACAAAGTAGGTTGTGATCTACTTCGTCGAATGTAAGTATATTATGTCCACAGTATTTCGCTGGTCTACTAATTTAGTCACTATGTTGAAGAATGAAATAAGATTGGTTTAGCATGATCTGTTTTTAACAAACCCATGCTGGCTGCTAGTTATTACTTCACTCATTTCTAAATGTTGACAGATCTGTTTTTTATTAACTTTTCCAGTATCTTCCTGGATATTGATGTTACGCTGGTTGGTCTGTAGTTTCCTAGGTCTGGTTTTTTTCCCCTTTTTTGAAGATGGGGACCACATCAGCTTGTTTCCAGTCCTCTGGTAGTTTCCCGGTACTCCAGAATTTTTGAAAGATGTGGTACAGTGGTTCTGAGATGACATCTGCCAGCTCCTTTAGAATTGAGGGATGTAATCTGTCAGGTCCCAGTGATTTATATTCATCAAGATCAGATGGGTGTTCCCTTATCTTTTTCTCTTTTTTTTTTTGCTTATTTTAACTTTTATTCCTAGTTTGTCTTTTACAGTTATGTTTTTGGAAGGTTGGGCTATAGAAGGGTGTCAAACTCAAAACCCGTGGGCCAGATCCAGCCCACATTAAGGTCAGATCTGGTTTGCAAGGCCATCCTGGAAACTCTAAAGGGCTGGTCACTTTGTAATGGCCCACACCATCCTGGTGGTCATGCATAGGGACAGGAGGCAGCAGGCACATGCACACACAGGCCCAGTTTATTGTTGTTGCATGCAGGGCAATAAAAGTAGTCTGTGAGACTATGATTAAAAAAAGTACTTCAGACCTTCCAACTTCGTGATAACTGTTTCTTTTTTGTGAGAAGTTGGAAGTTATGAATTATTATTTTTTTACCATAGGCCCACACACTATTTTTTTGCCTGGCACATGGCAGTGGTGAACGGAGCTGGAAAGCAGGTTAGTGAAGGGATGTGGCTGCCCTGGGAGAGGGTAGGAGGTTGGGAAAGTGAAGGTTTGGCATGGGTGGCCTGGCTGAAGGGCCCTTAGGTAAGCCCATGCGGGGCGAGTGGGTCAGCTCCACACTCCCTGTCTTGCTTTGTTCTCCAGCCCCCCCCCCCTTTCGTTCTTCACCTCTCCTTCTTACTCGCCACCATAATGGAGCAGGAGGCTGAGCAATACACCAGTGTGGTGGCCACAAAGTGAGGTGGTGAGGGTTGGAGGACAAAGCAAGAGGGGGGTGTAACTGCCCCACATGCCCCACACATCCTGCACTGACTTACCTGAGCACCCTACAGCCAGGCCGTCAATATCCTGACAACTGCCTCATCTTGCATCAGCTCCAATAGCACCATCCAGGGTCCCACATGTGTTGCTCAGCCTCTTGCTCCATTGTGGCAGCAAGTAAGGAGAAGCAGACCAGTGGGCACGCAGGGTCCTGGACTTTTTCTGGAGCTGTAGTTGAAAGGCCAGTCACTTTTCAGGATGTTGATGGCCTGGCTGAGGGGCCCTCAGGTAAGCTGGTGTGTGGTGCAGCTTGCACACCCTTCCTTGCTTTGTCTTCCACCCCCCTCACCGCCTCGTTTCACCTTCCACCCCCCTACCGCCTTGCTTTGTGGCTTCCTCACCAGTCCATTGCTCATCCTGCAGCTCTGTTATGACAGCAAGCAAGCAGAAGAAGTGGCAAAGAAAGAAGACAAAGAAAGGGAAGTGATGGGGGAGGTTGAGGATGAAGCAGTGCATGCTGCTATGGAGAGCATGGTTAGTGCCGGTGCCATGAGGTGGAGTGAGAGAGCGAGAGAATGATATGATCAAACCATCTCCACATGAGGTGGGGAGAGAGAGAGGGAGGGATGGAGGGAGAGAGAGAGAGAGAGAGATGGATGATCCAACCTATGTGTGTGTGACAGAGACAGAGACAGACAGAGAGATCCAATCCAACCTTGGAGAGTTATAACCAGGGCTGGCGGCAGTATGCTTCAGTGCCTGGCCAGCGGGATGCTTCTCAATCAGCCCCTTTCCTCTTTCTTCTTCCTGCTCCTCCTCCTCCTCCTTCAGACAAAAGCATAGTCCATTGCACGAGGTGCCTGAGATTTACTGGGATTGGGGGATGGTCAATCTTCATTCATGACATAGGAGAGAAGACAGAAGGCAATCCCCACCAGCCTGGCAGGGGTGGGGTGGAAAACTGTGTGGTGCTGAAAGCAACTGATGACACACTGGCTGTAGCTGCCCCACTCCCTGCTTGCCTCATCTCATCCCACAGGATGAGCCTCCAACCCCCTATCCCACCCACCAGAGACCTCTGGATTTCCTCCCTAACCCCGCCTGGCCTCCATAGGCACCACCCACATGAACTATGCCAAGCTGGCCATGCCCCCAAGCCATACCTAGTCAGCCAGGTGTCCTCCCTCCAGCCCCTAGAGGACAACCACAATGCTGATCCGGCCCTCAGTGAAATCAAGTTTGATATCCTTGGGCTATAGTTTCTTTTTGCATGAAGACGGATGCAAAGAACGAGTTAAGCAGTTCTGCTTTCTCTCTGCTGCTTGTTACTTCTTTGCCATTTTCTTTGTTTAGTGGACCGACTGTTTCCTTGATTTTTTTTTCTTGTTATTTATATGTTGGAATAAACTTTTTTAATTATCTTTGACTTTTGTTGCAAGTCATTCTAATCTTTCCTGACATTGTCTTTGCATATTCTGGCTATCAGCTGATATACTGTCTTAGTTATGTGTCCCTCTTTCCATTTTTGTACTTGCCTTTTTTGTCTTTCAATTTGTCAGAGAGTTCTTTATGCAGCCATGCTGATTTTTTCTTGGATTTCTTATTTTTCTTGTATTAATTTTCGTGTTTTTCTTCTACTAATTTTCATAAATTGTTCTCAAGGAATGGTTATATTCCAAACCTGTTAGGATTTTCTCTCAATAATGTTTACTGACTTGTAATTTTTGGGAGTAAAAATACTTTTCTTTCAGAGTCTCCGTAATGAAGATACAAAGGTCATCTCTTAGATATGGTGGTTTCTACCACTGCTTTGCCACAAACCCACTGACCTCCCTGCAAGCTTCCCTTCCTTTTTATTAACATGTCAGAAAGTTCCCAAAACATCCCAGCCAACTTTATGTGTCATTAGGTCAATCAACATTCACTCAGGAAGGGATAAACCTAAGTTTCTTCATTTTTTCCTGCCAGTGGAAATCATGCTATGATGAAACAGTCATGACTGTGCTCTCTGTGCCTGCTTCTAAAATGGCCAGGTCCGTTTCAGCAAGATTTAACTGATGCTCATGCAAGCTGATAGAAATCTGAGACATATTGCACTCAAAATTCTATAATGTTCTGTTTTCTATTATGTGATTTAGGCTATACATAAAATGGTAAATCTCATTAACAGGTAATGGTAATAAATTACTCAAAATAGTTGCTTCTGTGGGAAAATGAGATAGGAAATCCATTGATTCTCCAAAAAGAGGTTTAGACAAACACTTAGGAAAAAAACTTACTGTGAAAGTTTCCCCTATATGGGCAGATTAGATTCTGTCTTTCTTTCTAGAGTGTTAAAACATAGTTATTTTTCTGAGTTGTTGGGCTGAACTGAGCATCTTGTGTTTTCTGTTTTCTTTATTAATAAGATTTCTGCATGTTATCACTTGCTAGCGGATATAACCTGCTGACCATGGGTAATAATTCATTGGCAGTTAAATTTAACCTTAGGATTTTTGTAATAAGGTAGATGAATAAAATAATACAGTTATAAGAACATAGTATTTCACAATATGAGGTCATTAAATTACAAAATTAAATAAAATTGAAAGAATATTTTATCAGCCACTTGCTTTACGTGAATTTAAGTTGCAAACCTCACAAAATAGACTAATCTGCCAGCTTTTAGTTAATTCCCTGTGATAATTTGTTATTAATACTTGTGAAAATCTACAGGAGAAAGTAGAAGCTGGCTTTTAGAAAGAGCCAAAACTTGTAAGATCCTGATGTAATGTGTGAGACCCATTTTTTTCTTGGGAGGAAAGAATCATGTTAGAAAGTTAAATGTGATCTTTTAATTAGCAAAATGAGAGTATAAGCTTTGTAAATCAACATCATAAAAATCTTTGAGAGAATAAAATGTAAATCTGTATTGTTTTTAAATTTATTTCCTCTTCTTTTTTAGCAAAAGAAAAGAAAGTCATAACCCAGTGATGGGAGTTTATAATACCAATGTCAACACCTTGTTACCTGAAAGGCAAGGCATTTTTAAAAAGGAGAGGAAGAAGAATGATTCTCATGTATATGCAGTCATTGAGGATGTTATGGTTTATGGGCACTTGCTTGATAATTCTACAAGACCAGAGATGGCTGATGTAGGAGTGTACAGGCCCTTTTCTGGACCAGTAAGTAATATACCACCTTCCCCACCTCCAATCAGAAAAATATCTAAGAGCTCAGACCTGCAGGAATCATCAAACGTGCTTGTAACTAATAGTGAGAACTATACCTTTGCACATCATGTGCCAGAGAATATCCATAATGGTGACCTTAATGTGAGTGGTAATGGACATGTGGGCAGCAGAAACAATGAACAGGGAAATTCTGCAGACTAGACTTAATATCTTGATGATCTGTGACTTCTCTGATTCAAAGGAAAAACTTGTAACTCACTTATGGATGTGTTTGAAACCTATTTATGTGGTTTATTTTATTAAAATATAGATAGCAGATCTGTTCATACTCTGGGAAAGAGGTTTCTGAGGATGTAATGCCATACTTTGTTGTATAGAATGCAAGAACTTTGAAGTTTGCAGATTGTTAAACAAAACTATGAAATTCTTTTAGCAAAAGAACTCTTAATCCAAAGATTGTGCTGGGTAATGAGTATTAAATGCAAGAATTGTGCTTTTCATAAATGAGATTTTTACTTATTGTCCTTACACACATTGTACATCATGTATTTTTTTTAAATATTACTTTTTAATTTTAGCTCTGTGGAAATAATTTAGTGAATTTTAATCCTCAGTTACATATTTCAAAGGGTGGTCAACACTAAGTTTGTAATGAAAATAAAAGGACCATTCTGCAATTAATGGAATCATTGTTCCATTGTTACAAAGTAATGGGTTGTCCTCCTACTTTACTCTAAAGGTATTCTGATACGTAGGAAATAAGCCTCCTGTGATATTTCGACTTGAGCTCTATGTCTCTTTGGTTACTAAGCTAAGAACCAATAAGATTTCTTACATAGATATGTACACATTACCAATAGTCAGTCTGTGCATCCATATGTCTGCTTTCGAGAAAGGAGGGTACAGAAGTTCCTTTGTAGAAATATACTGTTTTGAACATATCATCAGCCTGTAGCATAGACATACTATAGATTGGCCTATTGTGAATTAACCTTTAATAGTTTGGGTTGAATACTTGGTTTAGATAATGCCCAACTCCAACCAACTCAAGATAGCATACAGTAGAACCAACAGAATAAAAACAGAATATAATAATCCTAAAAAGAATTTAAAAAGCAAACAACAAGAACAAATGGTAGATTTTCCAAACCTCACCCATATATAATAGGTAGGGGCCCCAACTATGCTAACCCAAGACCTGAGAAATCAGAATGCAAAAAAGGAACAGGAAAGATATAGTTCAGCAGGTTTTAGGTTTTTTTTAAAGTTTACTATTCTTATAGAATGTATCTTGAAAGATACTCTTTCCAAACACAAAATTCTATCAATAGATTTCAATGAATGAGAAGATGTGGGAAAGCATTTTTACTTCAGCTTGAATTTAGCATTTTGAAGTTCTACATAAGCAACTAACAGCTGCAAAAAACTTCTGCATTGTTCTAACCCAGGTGGCTCTTGCAAAATATATTTTCCTAGTAAAGTGTATCTATGAGACGGTTGTTTTTAGAAGGGAGAATTAATAGTCAAAATGAATTCCTAGAATCCAGAAGGAGGTATGATTATACCTTGTATGTGCAGTGAAGCTTCTGAGAGCACCCCTTCCTCCTGCTTTGGAACAAACAGATTGTTCCTGAGTTTGGACACTTTCTGGAATGGCATGTGCATTGTAATGAGCTGACAAAAAGAATCGAGCATGCTAAAACTGCCATGAAATTGCCACATTTTCTGATTGATCTGTATGAAAAATTAAACCATTTAGAATATATATTGTACATCTGTAATTATTTCTATTATCCTATTTCAGGGATTGCATATGTTTGAAAAGTTGTCAACTAAACATTATAAAACAATTGTTTTCTTAATTTAGACAGAATATGTGTAAATATTTGACCCATTTTGAATATGAATGGAAGTTTTGATGTAAGTGTTCCATAGTCTGATAACATGGTGGTTTTTATATGTTCCTCTGACAGCTGTTTTATTTCATTTGCATTAATGCCTACAGTTGAAATGTTTGTATATATGCATATTGTATATACTTTATTGGTTCTTCAAAATGAAATAAAAGAATGTTTACAAGGACAGTTTAAACAAACCTCAAATGACTTATTCTTTAGAAACTTGCTTTGAAATGCAGCAAATGAAGTGTATGGAATTATTGAAGAGAAAAGATATTCTGATTGAGTGTACATTTTCTTCTTACCTTATAAATAGTTAAAGGAAAATACACTATATAAAGTGATTGCTATGGTAATATTTTTATTGTATGGTACAATTTATACTTTTAGAAATTAAATAAAGAAAAAACTTATTTTAAGAAGACTTGCACAAAATGCATAGAGTTAGTTTTTCTTAGTCAACTATTCCTTCATATTTTTCTGTTTAATTAAAAAAGGATAAATGTGTTCTCTCCATTTTAGCTTGTGGTTTGAAGATTATTTTTCATCCTGAAAACTGTGAATTAATACTCTTCAGGATCAAATAGCTTATTTAATATTAAATTTTAGTTCTTCAAGAATGCATGTATGTTTAGACAACGTAGTTGAGATAAAAATTAAAAGCTAACATGAAGGATTTGTAATTTAGATATAAGGAATAAAAAACTATTTAGAGCCATTCTCACAGAATAAAATCTGTTCACATATTAGAAAATTAGAAAATGTAAGAAGATAAAATGAATTATTTTAACAATTGGAAATTGCTAATGAATGAAGAACAGTGAACTAATTACAAATATTTAAGTAATAAAAATGATAGAAAGATTTTTGCTATCCCAGATTTACAATCTTGGGTTGAAGATCGTATTTACTCTGTATTTTGAGGACAGAAAATGAATAATTGATGAATTAATATTACTCTGTGTGGTCATGATTTAAAACTATATTTAAATATATTTCATATATTTAAAAGCATGTAGATTTTTCTCTTTTTCAGTTTCTATTCCATTTCTTTTCCTTTAAATTTCACATACTTAAACAAACAAAAAAAATATGGATGCAAAAATGCATAGCAAGGATAGGCCATAGCAGTTTAGAAATATTTCTCCATTCCTCTTCTCTCTGTTTATTAATCTAATGAGTATATTTTTAAACATTCAGCATGTTAGTGACATAAATACCATATTTTTTTTGGGAGTATATGATGCACCGGAGTATAAGACGCACCAAATGTTGAAGAGGCAAATTTAAAAAAAAGTTTTTTTGCACTCTGTAGACCTCCCAAAAATGGCCCGTTTTTTCAGAAAATTGGCCCTCCCCCCCCCGCCCAAAAAGGGCACGAATAGCCTTTAGGAGGCTTGTAGAGTACTCTGCCCCCCCCCAACACAAGCAAAAAATGACGATTTTCTTGCAACAATTGGTCCATTTAGGAGTCTTATAGAGTGCTCCTATGGGCTGGGGGGGGTGTAAAATTGAGCAAAAAAATTCCCCTTTTTCTCTTATTTCTACCCTCCCCAGCTCCCAGGAGCACTCTGGAAGCCTCCTAAAAGCTATGCACAGCCATTTTGATGAAGGGGGTGGGGTTTCAGGAGGCAAAAATGCTGTATTCAGTATATAAGATGCACACAGATTTTCAGCCTTTTTTTTTTTTTTGGAAGGAAAAAAGTGTGTCTTATACTCCAAAAAATACTCCAAATAAAAGTAGGTAAAATATAACATATTAATGTTACTGGACAACTAGTAGGCACTGCTATTGTCAAATCTACTTTTATCAAATGTTATTAAACAGACAAACAGTTCACTCTACTTTCCTGCCTTTGTACAAAACATGAACTCTTAATGCAAAACAAAATAATTCTCATGGAAATGTTTACCAGTTAGAACATAGCAAAACATCCACTGTTACTTTAATTCTTCATTTTCCCAGTTGGACACAGATAAAAACTTTATTAAAATAGAGTCATGAACTCTTCTCTGAATCTTGACTTTAATTTTGACAATTATTTCTGTCATAATATCTTCTTCCGATATAGATAGATTAGAATTTGAGCATATATAATGTATCGACTGTAGTCTTTTCTTCTGGAGAAGATCACAACTGCCCTTATCTTCATTTCCGTTATATCATAAACCCTTTTGTATATTGCTTTTGTTTATCTAGATATTCTGTCTGTTCCTTATACAGAACTGCATTGATATCAAGAGAACTTGTATGTCTTGGAGACAACTGCTGTTTTAAACTGAGAATCTCAAATGCAAATGCAGGGCAACCTGCTGCTGTTTGTGTGGCTGATTTATTTCCATTGTGTATTAATACTAATCTAGTGATACATTAGGGTTTAACCAGGAACATGCCAACTTGATAAAAATTTGATATTTCTTAATAGAACCATTATACCTATATGATGGCTGCACCAAGTGCTTCTGATTGAAACTAGAGATGTTCTGCAAGATCAAGTGGAATATTAATCAGCACTGAACACTAAACCATGCATTTCTCTCCTTTAGAAAGTGTGCCTCCAGGAAATAAGTGTAGTTGGCAAGTTGATGTGGCAATTCACAAACTTAAAAATATCCAGCGTGTTTTTTCCTTTAAAACTGCAAACTCATTTCTGTGATTTCTGACTATGATACCCACTTCCTCATTCTGCTGTGTCTGTACCTGTTTGCATACTTACGATCTAAAATAGTTCTGTTGAGTCAGATGCCATTTAATTGTAGAGTTAGGCCAGAATTGTTCTTACCAGATGTTTGATTATGCATGTTAGGGCAAGCTGCATATTCTGCAAGTTCAACCTGAAAAGGAAGAGTATTGTAATTGAATCATGTTTCATTTTCTGATAAATTGTTTGAAGGATTCCAGCTCTCACTTTTTTGGTCATTCTTGCTATTTTGCAACTCATGATTCAGTTGTTGAAGATGTTTGATTGCTGCTCAATTAAATAATCTAGACTGATTATAGTTGCTTAGAATAACTTATTTTCATTATGGGAGGGTGAGTCATAGCATTAATCATGTAACTCATAAAGAGATGTTTGTTCATTGTCCATCAGAGATGGTATTCAGCAGGTTCTGACCAGTTCTGGAGAACCAGTAGCAGAACTTTTGAATAGATGGGTGAACCGGTAAATACCACCTCTGATTGGCCTTGCCCCCATCTATTCCATGCCTCCTGAGTCCCAGCTGATCGGGAGGAAATGGGGATTTTGCAGTAACCTTCCCCTGGAGTGGGGAGG